TAAAGATGTCACACCTTCTTTGAACCTCACAATCACCTTGCAAAAATATAGCAGGACAGGTGTTGCTATCACCTTTTAAAGATGAAGAAATTAAGCCTCAGGGGAGTGTAGTGTCTTACTAAAGTGACCTAGTGTGTGACAGAACCAGTACTTGATTCTGAATCCTGTGACATCTACCCTAGGATGCTTTATTTTACATTTAAACAAGTGACTCAGAGGCTTTAAAACTAAAGGGGCAAGGGCTAAGCTGCTCTGTCTCCTGGGGAGCTGACTCTCAACTAAGGAAAAGGTCAGACTTGCTGTTAAAAGAAAAAAGAAAAAAAAAAAAAAAAGAAAAAGAAGGTCAAACTGGGATTTCTCCTGTCTGCTCTACAAGAAAGTCCAGGTTAGAGCAGAGCAAAGATGTTGCTTAGGCGGTGGGCTCCGACTTTCAAATAGGGGCTAGGATCCTGTCTTCCATCACACCCAAAACAGGTCGTCTAACAGGCCACAGGCATTTGACAGGACTGAAGCATGTTCCTGAATAAAGACAAACATCGCCGGGCGCGGTGGCTCAAGCCTGTAATCCCAGCACTTTGGGAGGCCGAGGCGGGTGGATCACGAGGTCAAGAGATCGAGACCATCCTGGTCAACATGGTGAAACCCCGTCTCTACTAAAAAAAAATACAAAACATTTAGCTGGGCATGGTGGTGCGTGCTTGTAATCCCAGCTACTCAGGAGGTTGAGGCAGGAGAATTGCCTGAGCCCAGGAGGCGGAGGTTGCGGTGAGCCGAGATCGCGCCATTGCACTCCAGCCTGGGTAACAAGAGTGAAACTCTGTCTCAAAAAAAAAAAATAAATAAATAAAGACAAACATCTGCCACCAGAATGCTCTGGTTTCACCCTCTGGTTCCTGGGAGCTAGTAAAGGCCTCAGGACAGTGGGGTCGGCTCAGCTCCTTTCCTTTATTTTTGGGCAAAGGCTTCACCTTCCCTCTGTCCGATTCCCTTTCTTTTCTCCTTCTTTCCTTTGTCCTTAGTCTTTTTTTTAGTCAGAGTCTCACTCTGTTGCCCAGGCTGGAGTACAGTGGCGCAATCTCAGCTCACTGTAACCTCTGCCTCCTGGGCTCAAGCAATTCTCCTGCCTCAGTCCATGAGTAGTTGGGATTACAGGCATGCACCACCATGCGCGGCTAATTTTGTATTTTCAGTAGAGATGGGTCTTCGTCATGTGGCCAGGCTGGTCTCAAACTCCTGACCTCAAATGATCCACCCAACTTGGTTTCCTAAAGTGCTGGGATTACAGGTGTGAGCCACTGCACCCAGCCCCTTTGTCCTTAATCTTATAGTCACAAAGTTTTGTCTGGGTGTAACCTAGATACCTCTTGTTATAATTCCTGCTCCTTCCTCTCTCTCTCTCTCCCTCTCTCTCTCTCTCTCTCTCTCTCTCTCGACAGAGTCTTGCTCTGTCACCCTGGCTGGAGTGCAGTGGTGTGATCACAGCTCACTGCAAACCTCGACCTCCGGAGCTCAAGTGATCCTCATACCTCAGCCTCCTGAGTAGCTGGGACTATAGGCATGTGCCACCATGCCTGGCTAATTTTTAAACTTTTGTAAAGATGGAGTCTCTTTATGATGCCAAGGCTGATCTTAACTCCTGGCCTCAAGTGATCCTTCTACCCCAAAGTGTTGGAGTTACAGCCATCATGAGCCACTGTGGCCAGCCCTCCCTTCATTTTCTGTCCTTAAGGAAGATGGAAAACACCAGCCAGTCAGTCTCTATCCAGACCACATCTTTTACTCTTTCTCTAATGCCAAATAGCTATACTGAATGGACTCATGGTTCTCACTAGACTTGTGGGGCTAAGTTTAGGGCACAAAATAATGCCTTGATCAAGGGTGGGTTTAGGGAGATGTTGTGCAACCATCTCTTTCTGCTATGGTCATGCTTCTACTACCTCAAATCCTGGTAGATTTCTTCATTTCCAAATTGGCTAGACAAGTGCTTTTACACCAACTGTGGTCCTCTAGGACCCTTCAGAACCTCTTCTGCACTTCTATTCACCCTGTACCCATGAGTCACTGAGCTGAGTTCTTGGGAACGGCTTCCACACCCAGGCTTCTGGGTTTCTGACTCACAAAAAGTCAAATGAATGGCTCTGGGGTATGAGAAACAGACACTGCATCTGGGGGTGGATACTCCACAGAAGCTTCAGTGTCTCCCTGGAGAAATAAACTCTCCAGCTCCTTGTACTGGCACACTAGGAGTAGCTGTACAGATATAGCTAGACCACCCAGTGGAGGGCAGGTCCTGAAACTACTGCCTGGCTGTTCTAAAGAAGGTCCAAGCAAAGCAAGTGATAGAGAATCTGTGTCACCCAAGCACAGGACAGTGTCTGGTTTGGAACGGGAGTGGGGGACAGGGTGATGATGTCATCCATTAACTCTCAATCTTGCAACTCAGCAGTGCATGTTCTTCCTACTTCCCAGTGCTGTGAGCAGCTCTAGTTTTCCTGAGTGGGTAACAATGAACTCGTTTGTCCACAACACAGCTTTGTAAGCCGTTAGTCTCCTCCCTGGCAAAGCCCACTCCGGAAAGGCTTCAACTTTGTTACATTGTGTGCGCACAGGGAACACATAGATACACAGGGATACACACAGAGACTTGAGAACACAGGCACATCCAGACAGACAGACATGGACACAGAGGCAGACGATGTATGCTCACACATAGGCACACACTTATATAGAGGCACAAGCATACAGACAGATCAAAGCCAAACAGTGTTAGAGCTAGAGAGAATCTTAGAAGTCATTTAAGAAATTCAGCCCCGGCCGGGCGCGGTGGCTCAAGCCTGTAATCCCAGCACTTTGGGAGGCCGAGGCGGGTGGATCACGAGGTCAAGAGATCGAGACCATCCTGGTCAACATGGTGAAACCCCGTCTCTACTAAAAATACAAAAAATGAGCTGGGCATGGTGGTGCGTGCCTGTAATCCCAGCTACTCAGGAGGCTGAGGCAGGAGAATCGCCTGAACCCAGGACGCGGAGGTTGCGGTGAGCCGAGATCGTGCCATTGCACTCCAGCCTGGGTAACAAGAGTGAAACTCCGTCCTAAAAAAAAAAAAAAAAAAAAAGAAAAAAAAAAAAAAAAAGAAATTCAGCCCCCTTATTTTACAGAGTAGAAAACTGCAGCCAAGTGAAGGAACTACCTATGATCACACAGCTGTTTTGTATTAGGTCTTTCTTTCCTGTGCCCTTTTGTTTTAATGTGCTCTTTCTTCAGATTCTTAAAGTGGAAGATTAAACCATTGGCCTAAAACTTCTTTCTTAGAATAGGCATTTAAAGCTGTAAGTTTCATTTAAAGCACAAATATTGATTTGAAATGTTGTATTTTCATTATTATTCAGTTTCATTGCCCTGGTGATTTCTGAATCAACTCACAGGTAATTTAGGAGTGTGTTGTTTAATTTCCAAATATCTGGGGCTTTGCTAGATGTCTTATTGTTCTGATTTTTAAATTAGATTTGTTTTGGTAAGAAAATGTAATTTGCAACATTTAAAGTTTTTGTTTGTTTGTTTGTTTGATATCTCACTCTGTTGCAAAGGCTGGGGTGCAGCAGTGCGATCTTGGCTCACTGCAACTTCCACCTCCTGGGTTCAAGTAATTCTCCTGCTTCAGCCTCCCGAGTAGCTGAGATAACAGGTGTTTGCCACTATGTCCAGCTAATTTTTACTATTTGTAGTAGAGATGAGGTTTCACCATGTTGGTCAGGCTGGTCTCCAGCTCCTGACCTCAAATGATCCTCCTGCCTTGGCCTCCCAAAATGCTGGGGTTGTAAGTATGAGCCACTGCACCCAGCCTTTTGCAAAATTTAAATGTTTGAAATGGATTGAGACTTATTTTATGGCCCAGCCTATGGTCTCAGTTGGTAAATTATTGATATGCACTTGAGAAGAATGTGTATGTGGAGTTCTCAAGTATTGTTTTCTAACATCAATTAGGTCAAGGTTTACTGTATTGTTCAAGTCTGCTACATCCTTACTGATTCTTTTTTTTTTTTTTTTGTCTATTTGTTCTATTTATTATTGGGAGAGTGGTGTTAAAGTTTTCAACTATCCAGTTCCAAAAGGCCACATATAATATGATTCCATTTATATGAAATGTCCAGGATATGCAAATATATATACACAGAAATTAGTCTGTAGAAGCTGGGCATGGTGGCTCAAGTCTGTGATCCCAGCACTTTGGGAACCCAAGGCAGGCAGATCACTTGAGATCAGGAGTTCAAAACCACTCTGGCCAACATAGTGAAACCCCATCTCTCACTTCCCACTTGACTCATCCCATTTCCTATTTCACACCTGACATTTCCGATTCACAAATGTATTCATGTTTTTTTTTTTTTTTTTTTAATTTGTAGAGGCAGAGTCTCTCTATGTTGCCCAGGCTGGTCTCAAACTCCTTGGCTCAAGCAATCCTCCAGCCTCGGCCTCCCAAAGTGCTGGGATTACAGGCATGAGTCACCGTGCCCAGCCACAAATGTATTAATCTTACAGTAGTAGAATTCCATTTACCTGCCCCCACTTCCCTTGTGCCATTGTCATAACTGTTACTTTTACATGTGTTTTAAAGTCCAACACATGTAAAAGTAGTAGTTATAACAGTGGCACACCACCTGGCCAAGGGAAGTGAGGGTGGGTAAATAAAATTCTACTACTGTAGAATAGTAGAATCCCAGCCAGTAATTCCAGGACTTTGGAAGGCTGAGGCAGGAGGATTGCTTAAGTCCAGGAGTTAGAGACCAGCCTGGGCAACATGGGGAGACCTCATCTCTACAAAAACATTTTAAAATTAATTGTGCCTGGTGGTGCGTGTCTGTAGTTCCATCTACTCAGGAGGCTGAGGTAGGAGAATCACTTGAGCCCAGGAGATTGAGGCTGCAGTGAGCCATGATTGTACCACTGCACTCCAGCCTGGGTGACAAAATGAGACCCTGTCTCAAAAAATAAAAATAAAGTCCAACTTAAAATGTTATTATTTTGCTTTAAGCAGCCAGTTGTCTTTTACAGAAATTAGGACAAGGGAAAAAAAGTGTTTTATGTTTACTCATTTCCAAGTTTTGTTTGAGTAGGTCTGACTCTAGTTCATGGTCCTTACACCTAAAGCATGGCATTGCTGGTGTTTCAGATAGATGCCCAGGGTTTTAAAGAGATTTTTCCATTTTGGCTGGCCCAGACTGCCAATATCTTCCAGAACTGCTCAATTTCTCCAGTCTTTTTTCCTGTTCTCAATCACATAGCAGCTGTTCTCTGATAAGCGCCACACATTCTCACCTTACATGTGCTAGCACAGTCCCAGGCAAGGACTTGCAGTGAATTCCACACAGACCTATGGGAACCTCCTTCACTATAGCTCCTCCTCTGTGACGTGTCACTTCATGGATTCTAGCTACTTCAACAGCCCTGAACTCTAAGCTTTGTCACCTCAGCACAGCAGGACTGCTGTGTTCTGCTTGAGGTCTAGCTCCCTGCACTGTGGTCAGGAATTGTCTCCAAGCAAAGAGCTGGAGTAATTATGGGGCTCACTTTCTGGGTTTTCCTTTTGTGGATGGTTGTTCCCTAAATGACACAGCAATATCTCCCATTCCCATGTTCTTCTCACAATGTGACCTTAACACTCCTCCCAGCAGTTGTGAGGTCTATGGTCCCTCCTTGAACCTGGGAGTGGGCTGTGACTGCTCTAGCCAATGGAGTGCAGCAGAAGCAATAGTAGGTCATAAAAAGGATGTAGTTCCTGTCTCTTCTCCCCTCTCCCAAAACTCATGCCCAGGACCGGGCCACCATGTTATAAGGAAGCCCCAACTAGCCCACATGAACAGACCATGTGGATAGGCCCACGTGGAAAAGAACTGAGGCCACCAGCCAACAGCCAGTATCGACCGCCAGATATCTAAAGAAACTTCAGATGATTCCAGCCCCAGACACTGTAGAATGGAGACAAGCTGTGTCTCCCTGATGTGCCCTATTTGAAATGTTGGCTGACAGTATCTGTCAACTTAATAAATGGTTGTTTTACTTCACTAAGTTTTGGGGGTAATTTGTTATATAGTCATAGTAACTAAAATACTGTCTTTAGGAATTGCGGCTCTGTGCTGTCTGTTGTCCAATGCTGAAAATAGTTGCCTTACTTATTTTGTCCTGTATTGTTGTTGTAGGGGAGCCAGTCTTCAAGCCCAGGCTTTAAGCCGAAGCTCTGTTCTCTAAAGTAATGATAAAGATAATAACAGCATTGAGAGCAACTTCCTATTATAGACTGCTTTCCATGTACTATGAACTGTGCTAGGCATTTTACAGATGTTATTTCAATGAAACCATACAACAATCTTGTTAAATAGGCATTATTAACTCCCATTGTATGGAGAAGAAAACTGAGGTTCATAGAGGTTAAATGAGTTATCCATGGTTTACATATGGGTTTGTCTGGCACTGAAGCTCATGCAATTAACCATATATAGAAACACAGATATATGGTTTCTATATACATATACACACCTCTATGCAAATTCCCAACTGTGTGTGTATATATGTAATATATGTATACACACACACATACACGTGTACATGCATAGGCATATAGAGACACATACACACCCATTACACATTTCCAGAGTTTTGATTTGTTTGTTTTTTTTGAGACAAGAGTTTTGCTCTTGTCACCCAGGCTGGAGTGCAATAGCGCAATGTGGCCCATAACAACCGCTGCCTCCCAGGTTCAAGCAATTGTCCTGCCGCAGCCTACCAAGTAGCTGGGATTACAGGCATGTGCCAACATACCCAGCTAATTTTTATATTTTTAGTAGAGATGGGGTTTCACCATGTTGGCCAGGCTGGTCTCAAACTCCTGACCTCAGGTGATCCGCCTGCCTTGGTCTCCCAAAGTGCTGGGATAATAGACATAAGTCACCGTGCCCGGCCCATTTCCAGAGTTTTTATGCTTTAAAAATATTTTTTTGTTCTCAGAGCTAAAAATCCCCTTCCCCCAACTTATGTTCAATAGACTGAAAGAAACTCAATCTGCTAGATATTAAGTTTCCCAAGCATACCCCAATATGAAATTCTCTCCATCTGGGGCCTCCACAGGCATGGGCAGCAGAGATATGCCTCTGTTCCCTTGCCAAGGATTGCCTGGGACCCGAACTTGCAGGGAGGTGGAGTGAGACTCTTAACAAGACTTGGCTTGGCAGACAGAAGCCTTCTCCTGGGGCTGCAAGGACTCTGTACTTGATGTTGTAATAGTCGCAATAGAGAGAAACGAAGTGCTTCTCCGATTGTGCAGAGAAAGCAGAGAGCACAGAGGGGTGGAAGGCATCAAGAGATGATCCATTGTTGAGGCAGGGTCATTTCCAAATATTCCCCAGCAGTGATGGGAACTGGCTGATGGAAGGATGAGGCATTCAGACAGGGCCCTCTTCATTCTGCAGTTTCCCCAAATTCGGCTTGCCCTTCTAGGGAAAGGGAGTAGAGAGGATGTTGAGAAGCTTACAATGGGCAGTTTGAGGGCAGGAAAGAAGCTCTTAGAGAAGCAAGAGTTTCAGGGCAGAGCGTTGGGCTCAGTAATTCAGAACCTGTTCATATTTCAGACTGGTGCAGTGGCTCACGCCTGTAATCTCAACTTCCGGAAGCCGAGGAAGGCAGATCACTTGAGGTCCGGAGTTCGAGAGCAGCCTGGCCAACATGGTGAAACCCTGTTTCTACTAAAAATGCAAAAATTAGCCGGGTGTCATGGCGCGTGCCTGTAGTCCCAGCTACTCGTGAGGCTGAGGCACGAGAATCGGTTGAACCCGGGAGACGGAGGTTGCAGTGAGTCGAGATCGAGCCATTGCACTCCAGCCTGGACGACAGAGAGAGACTCTGTCTCGATAAATAAATAAATAAATAAAAATAAAAAATATAGAAAGAAAAAGAAAAGAAAGAAAAGAAAAAAGAAACCTGTTCATATCCCTTCTCCTTAAAATAGCAGAGGCCCTGGTCATCTTCTTGAGAAGAAGTAAGAACACAAGCAGACATGCTTCTTTGAGGAGGAAAGACGTGATACTGTTGTGTTATTACAATCACTTTTATCTAGAAAATAGACGCCCCATATCGATCCCCACCCCTACTTCACAAAAAATTCCCCGTGTGCAACCTACAGCAAACAGCTGCGTCCAAAGTAAGAAAATGGAAAGGGAGCTCTTTAAGGTTCACCTTCCTGCACCCTTCTGTCAAGTTCAGCCCTAAAGCCCCCTTTAAAGCTCATTAGAAGCAACTCGAGAGTATACTACTCTTGGCCATTTCACAGAAACTAGTTCTGAGCAGTTTAAATGGCTTGCCCAAGCTGATCAGCAGCAGCCCCTGGCCAGGAAGCCAGCGCTCTGTCCCGAGTCCGCGTCAGCCAGCCGTTCCCTCTCTACAGCACCAAACTGAGGCTTCCACACGGTTCGGGAGTATCCGACGAATGAACACCATTCTTCCCAGCCTAAGTGTATGAGGGAGAGCGGCACCATGCCAAACTGGGGTAGGAGGTCCCCTCTCGGCTCTCGCCGTCTGTTCGGTATTGTCTCGGTACCCGCCCCAGCTCATCAATGCGGATCCGCGTGCCTGTGTGGTTCCAGCCTGGCACGGGGAAAAAACTGCCCGGCTTTTTGTGTGCAAGTGTGAAGGGGTTGGAGGACAGGGGGAGGGTAACGGAGATTGTCCGCTCACAGGTGACTGCCCGGTGGCCGGACTGCAAAGTTCTGGCAGGTCTCAAGCACGCGCACCGCTCTCCGCCAGGTACACACCCCGTACCTCCGCCTCCTTGCGCAGCTCCTGGCCTCCGCGCTCCGCGGGCTGGGCGTCCAGGCGGCCCCACAGCAGCAGAGGCAGGGCGCGCAGCAGGAGGCCGACACGCGCGACCATCTCGCCGCCTCCGGTGTAGCCGGCTCGGGAGCTACTGCGCGCAGGGAGCCAACCGGCCTTCAGCCGCGCCCGGGACCCCGCGGATGAGCCGGCTCTGCGCTGCCCCCGCGCGGAAAGGGATTGTCCCGGGGGCTCGCCAGTGTCCCAGCTGCGCGCGGTGGGCCGCTCCTCCGCTGCGCTTCTCCGGGAGCCGGCCAGAGGTCGTCCTGCCCCGGCAGTGTCTGCCCGCGGGTCCGCCGGTCCCGGGGACCGAGGGAGGGAGGGAAAAAGGAAGGGCTGGCGGAGGGGGCGGAGGCCTGGCACTCCCGCCCCACCCACCCGGCTCCGCCGCTGGAACGCGCGGCGGTCCCTGAGCTTCCGTTCGCTGCACAGCCTCGCCCTGCGCCCGCCGCCGCCCTACGGATTGATCTTCTCGCCCGTCACCTCCAGTTGACCCGATCTGTCCAGGGAGGGTGAGGGAAGAAGGACCTTCTCCTGGCAAGCGTGGCTACCTACTTAAGACTTCGATGAAGAGAGGTCCTGGCCTACCTGAGGGTCGTTGATTATTTCAGCTGGGTGGGGAGTGAGACCCCCCCTCACCCAGGGTCCGGGTGTGAGAGAAGGAGCCCTGTGCTGGGATCAGAACTGGATTTGAGTTCCAGATTTGCTCCTTTGATAGCCCTTTGAGTACTGCCTCAGCCATGGCTGTGTGGCCTTGGGCCAGTCACTTACCAGCTCTGAACCCACTTTTCTCATCAGTAAATGGGGTACTAAGAATACCGATATCCTGTGACTGTTGGGGAGATTTAATGAGATAATAATGCCTGTAAATTACTGAGCAGGGTCCATGGCGTCACGCAGCGTGAACTTAATAACAGGTAGGCTGGGCTGGGCGCGGTAGCTCACGCCTGTAATCCCAGCACTTATGGGAGGCTGAGGTGGGCGGATCACGAAGTCAAGACATTGAGACCATCCTGGCCAACTTGGTGAAACCCCGTCTTTACTCAAAAATTAGCTGGGCGTGGTGATGCAGGCCTGTAGTCCCAGCTACTTGGGAAGCTGAGGCAGGAGAATTGCTTGAACCAGGGAGGTGTAGGGGGGGTGGGATTTGCAGTGAGCCAAGATCGGGCCACTGCACTCCAGCCTGGCAACAGAGCGAGGCTCCGTCTCAAAATAAGTGGTAGGCTGCAGCTGTGTGATCTTTGGCAAAGGATTTAACTACTTCCAACATCAGTTTCCTCATCGATAAAATGACAGCATACGATATTTAGTGCCCAGCGTTGCATGAGGATGAAAAGAGAAAATGAATGCATAGAGCCTGATTTTATATATCCCATAAGGATGGAGTGAAACGGTTTATGTGAAAGCCTTTGCTAAACCCATACTGGACAAAAAGTAAACTGTTTTTCTTACCTGTCTGTGTAACTGAGAGCTGGTTGCTGTCTCACTTCTAGACTCAATTCACTACTTCGTAAAATGCAAATGGCAAATGATACTGAGCTCTGGGGGTCACTGTGGAATTAGATGAGTTAATATGTGTAAAAATAATCTGGAATCCACAAAGTGCTGAACAAAAATAATGCTGTGTTCTAGCCCTAAGGCTCAGGGCCTCGGTATCACACAGTGTTTTTGTACTATTTAGAAAAATACAACACGTTTGTGGAGGAATTGGAAAAAGTTATTTTAATAGACATTTTATGTATATATGTATGTATGTCTGTATGTATGTATTTTTAATACGGAGTCTTGCTCTGTTGCCCAAGCTGGAGTGCAGTAGCATGATCACAGCTCACTGTAGCCTTGACCTTCAAGGCTCAAGCAATCCTCCCATCTCAGCCTCCTGAGTAGCTGGAATTGCAGGCATGTGTCACCATGCCCAGGTGATTTTTTAATGTTTTATAGAAAAGGAATGGAGAGATTCTGCCCGGAGAAAGAATTGGCAAACCTAGGTCAGACTCCAGCTTGGCCCACAGTGTCCTTACCAACTGATGATCATCAGAGCTCCCTGCCTAAAGCAGGGTTATCTAGCCTGTCAAAATCCATCCATTGGTAAAAGTCACCATATGTCATGCCATACCTGTAACCACAAACACATAGACACACACACACACACACATTCTCTCTCTCTCTCTCTCTGTTTCTCTATCTCTCTTGCGTTCTCTCTGTCTCTTTCCTTCTCTCTCTCTCTCAGGTTGCCAGATGAAACAGAGGATGCCCAATTAATCTTGAATTTCAGATTAATGATGAATAATTTTTTAGTATAAGTGTCCCAAATATTGCATGGCACCCAGTTACTTTTTAAATTATTCATTAATCTGAAATTCAAGTTTAACTGGAGTCCTGAATTTTTATGTGCTAAATCTAGTAATTCTATCTCACTCTCCTTCAGAATTTCCCTCCCCAAGGTACATTGCAGCGTTTTGCTTGAATCAGCAGCCATGTTACAGTCTGTTGTTTTTTGGGGGATGTGGGTTGGGTACCGGGTCTTGCTGTGTTGCCCATGCTGGTCTCAAACTCCTGGGCTCCAGTGATCCTCCTGAGCAGCTGGGACTACAGGAGTGCACCACTGTGCCCACTTCACAGAAGGAATAACCTTCCTACTAGTTGCCTGGCAAGATTGGAAGCTCTCTAGGAACAAGGGGCAGGCCAGCCTCGTGTCCACTATCTCTG